TGACTTCAGCTGTGCTGCATCTGGAGCCGTTTGGTCCTACTGCGTGTCTGAAAAAGCTGAAGGTGAGCTTTTAGAAAACTGAATTTCATCAAAAAAGAGCTGTTAAAGATTTCAAAGAGGGAAGTGTATGAAATCAGCCTCTGAGAGACCTCTCAACTGGTGATTTCACAATTTTAATGTTTTCATGGAAGAGAAATGTCAGTTTTCTCTCGTGTTATGTTACTGTTTTGCTGATTTCAGAGCTGAAACTGAAACTTCTTTAGAGTGTGTCAGACCATTACAGTATTTATTTAATAGACTTGAATTACAGTCTGACGTCATTGTGTTTCTGCTCAAACAAGGACCAATGTGGAAATGGGTGGAATGAGTGGTATTAATATGAATTCCCATTTTAGCAATAATCATGTGGAAAAATTGTAATGACAGTTAGAAGTTAATCTACAAGAAAGAATGCAAAAGAGTCAAATGTGCAACTGTTACTTAGGGTAAAGTTCCAGAGTGAAGATTGTTTTTACACACTTACATGGTTGGTTACAATAGTTACAGTTTTAACCATTTCTTCTTTCTCCCTAATATTTTGGTTATTATTTTTGTTTTAAATCCCTGTGTATTTATGACTTAGGGGTGAAATGAGCTCTTTTGTGTAGTTGAGGTGTCGAGTTTCACTGGAATCAAACTTGAACTGTTCAGGGTTATTATTAGCTTATATAGCTTATATTAGCTATAACGTGTACACAGATCGAAGAACTTCAGTCGTTCCTCAGACTGGACATTTGGGACCAACCAGAACTCAGGAGGACTATTGTGAGTTCACTCAACACTGTAGGCCAGTCTCATACAGAACATGTCTGTGTGTTTCACCTCAAAATCAAAAGAAAATAGAAAGAGATTAGATTTTTATTTTTTTTTTGCATTGTGCCAATTTCATGGCAGTTAAGCACCCCTCACAATTTGTATTTTTTATTAATTATATCTATGATTTTCACTGATGTAATAATGAAAATCATCTTGTGCAGACCATTATTATTTTACATTAAAATTAGCATCATTTAGAAACCATAAAACAAATACTGTCGAGTGGTATAAATAAAATATATTATTTTATTATCCTCAATAATGGGAATTGAAATAAAAAATGTCACAATGCAGAAAAAAAAGTATTGATTTTAATGTGAAATATGATGTGCATGTTCTTTGTGAGATTCACCAAGAGGCTACGAGTTTGATTTTTTATTATTTTTTTTTCCTTTGTTTCATCAGTTTCATTTGGACAGTCTGTTACTGATGTCCCCTGTCAAGCCATTTCATTTCTGTCCCGATATTTGTGGCCTCACTCTGTCATGCCCTTCAGCCTCAGAGAACTCTCCCTCCTCTGAGTGTGTTATTATCAGTGTCTGTCTGTCTGTCTGTCTGTGGGCGCTGCTGTGCAAAGCCCTTACTAAGTGATGAAAGCATGTGCTATTTATTCGGGTCAGGGAGGGAGAGAGCGAAGGTGGGATGTATTGTATAGACACAATTGTAAAGGCGACTTGTGACAGTCACAAATGTTTCATAAAAAATGCCAAAAAAATGTAATATTATGCGTGTATTACTGATTGGATAATTTCCTTTTTTCACAGGTTAATACTTCCTGAGCAGTGGGAAAGTTGGTATGATTATGATTTTGTATGCTCATTGCTCATGTTATTGGTGCTAAATTATCATTAGTGATCCTTATTAATGTTGCAAACAGTTAAGAGTGATACTTTTTTTTAAGGGATTCTTTAAATATAAAGTCCAGTGAATGGTGTTTAAAAAAAAAAGAAATTATAATTGTCTACTGTAGTGTCACCTTTGACCAATTTAATGTCCTTGCTAAATGAAAGTATACTTTTTTTTTTCTCACCCCAAACTTTTGAATGGTAGTGTATCATGATTTCCACCCAAAAAAAGTTAAGCAGCAAAAAAATTGTTTATAACATTGAAAAATAAGAGATGTTTCTTGAGCAGCAAATCAGCATATTAGAATGATTACTGAAGGATCATGTGACACTGAAGACTGGAGTAAAGAAATTACATTTTAAAATTTATTTTAATAACAAATTGTATCAGTATTTCACAGTTTTTGCTGTATTTTCCTATATGATGGACCCTTAATCTTTTGATAAAATCAATGCATGCAGGTCAAGAGAGGAAGGCTTCAGAAGACACATCAGCTGTATTTTTAAATGTATTTTATTATATACTATCTTGTCCATAATCTATTTGGCAAGCAACATTTTCACTTCAACATGAAATTGATGATGGAATTGTTGCGGCCGTTAGGTTACTGTACAGACTCCCACAGAGGTGCAGACATTGTCAGACAGTGATGATATTCTGTGACATCTAAGTGTTAGTACGATACCATCGATGTTGTAGTAATCACAGCAGCTGTGGAGTTAACGAGAATGAAATGGATCTGGTGTTACAACTGTGTCGGTGTTTATGACGGTATTCATAAAAGCGTATTTAAAATCATGCAGTAGAAATCTACCAATTTAACAACCAACCGAATGAAAGATATAAAAAGTAAGAAAACCAGAGCTGGGAAATCTCAAGAATGTTCATTCATGCATAAAGGCAGTGAGACTTTGGCAGTGTTGTGCTGCCCTCTGTAGTCACTACCAGAAATTGGCTACTAAGAGGGAGAGGAAAGACTGGAAGCTTGTGAATGAATACAATTGATTCCTGCTTTCTCGTTCCGTTTTCTTTTGAAATCATCATGCACGAAGAGCCAGAGGCTTAAACATCGTTCCTACAGGAGGCACACTTGAAACTTGAAGTCATTCTCAATCGATTTCATGAAGCCCTTGAATATCTTGTCAGCGAAGACAAAAAGAAAAGGGGAGGAACTGTGAGGCAAACATGAGAAATGATCCTCTACGGCACATTGTTAATAATATATTTATCACATTAGTTTCGGTAGCTGAATTCGGCTATGAATCTTACACAACAATGCACTTTTCTGACACCTGTGATATTAACATGTGACATTCTTTTGCTTCTCTATTATTTCTTTTAAGAGAATGATTTGAATAGCTTTATACGCTACTCACAATGTCTGCTTTTTTTTCCCAGAACAGATATTTTGTGCTTTATAATGCTAAAAATCTTTCCTATTTAATACCAAGCCAGTAAAGACTAACTAGAGGGTGCTGGTCGTGATGTTTTGTAGATGCAGTGACAATTTGAGTGAGCTATTACATATCAGTGAGAAAAGTTATGGTTAGCTTACCAGTGGTTAGTTGAGTTTGTTCTGGTTCAAATCCGCTGTACGTGACAGGTGCAGTTTTCCTCTTCTTCTTCTGAATTTTTTGCCGTATTCCGCACCATAGGCAGGTGCAGTTTTCAGACAGGAAGCTCTTCTTGTAAATGTGCGTTAAAGGGTTAGTTCACCCAAAAATGAAAATTAGCCCATAAATTACTCACCCTCAAGTCATCCTAGGTGTATATGACTTTCTTCTTTCAGACGAATCCAGTCGGAGTTATATTAAAAATTGTCTTTGATCTTTCAAGCTGTTTAATGCCACTCAGCGGGTGTTGCATGCATCAGTCCAAAAGCAGTTAAATAAAAAGCGCCCATCCATAAAAAAAGTGTCTCACACGGCTCCGGGGGGGTGAACAAGGGCCTTCTGTAGCGAATCGATGTGTTTTTGTAAGAAAAATATCCATATTCAAAACGTAATAATCACTTTAATGTAGCTTGCGCCAGCAGTTGTACACGGAAGCAGTTCCGGGCAGATGACGTATGAGT